GTTGACAACAGCAGTAAAGTGAGGAAAGCAAAAGCAAACAGCGGCATGGCTGATATAATTTACCACACCGATTCCTTCTGGCACTACACTGCCCTCTTGTGTACAAAAAATCAAACTATGAAACAAAATGAAGCTGAAAAACTAAAATTATTTTTATGCAATATGACATATAATGCCATTTTGTGAGTCTCACTCATTAAATTTACTTAATTAAAGAAAATTATATATATTTTAATGTCTGTTGTAAACATATTCCTCTAATTGTGTGTCTTATGTTTTTCTACTGACTGTACGGCAAATTTCCTTATGGGGACAAGAATGAAGTGATACTGTACAGTAAATAAATTTCAGAGGAAAACACCATTATGAATTTCTATTAAAACCATCAGACTGAAATGACAGCAATCACATTTATCACAAAAATGATCTGAATAATAAAATAGTTTTTCCATCTATTGGTTCTTGCTTTCATCTGTCTGAATCTCTTTCTAGATGTTAGGAGCTCAGATTCACCACAAAGTAATAAAGTGATAAAGGGAGGGGAGAATGTATTTTTCCTTTTTTCTGCCTCTAATTAAAATGTTTGTGTAATATCAAGTAATTTGGTTTTTCTGGTCACTTCAGTCAATTGTTTTATTTGTTTTCTCCTTTTGATAGATTGTACAATATTAAATTATATAAAACATGACAGAGCAGCAGCTGCTATCAATAACAGTAGAAACAGCCCTGAGTCTAAAAATGATTTATTCTGCAAAAACATCTCTAATAATATGAGTGAATATTTTAATAGGTAAACTCTAAGATTCAAAAATTAAAACAGAAAATGTGTGAAAAATAACACAGAATGAGAGTTTGAATAGAAAGTCGTTCAACAACTTAGTGACATTAGCAGCTAACAAAGCACAATATCCTGACTAATGATTGATGTTTTTGTTTGAGTTGTTACTTCTTTAAATTGTTCTGTCCAAATCTCAAATCGTTATGTAATGCTGCAAAATTTATTTAGACAATTTCTGTAAATAAATAAATGTTAATATAAATTTTCTTACCCAATCATTTTTATTCTGTTAATTGATAAAAAGAACTATTTATTGATTGATGTATTAAGTTTTAGTTTTATTGTAATATTGTTCTTTTTATTTATTGTAGGATATTTGTTTTTCTTTAATATTTTTGTGTTTTATTTTTATTGATTTAATCTTTGTCTTATGTTACAATGGTTGGTGTTAATTGTGAAGCACTTTGGTCAACTGTTGTTTTAATTGTGTTATACAAAAAAAATATTAACATCAACATTTTTGGACGTTTGGGTAGAAGAGCAGTGATTCTTGTTCCCCATCAGATGGCGATCTCTGACTATGTTTGACTGATACACACCATCAACCTTTGAACTCTTTACTTTCATTTAAGAACAGGTTTTGAAAGAACCAACAACAAGCAGAGTGAATCTAACAAAATGGCTGCGATGTCCAACTCAGGTCTGTGACGTTTTCATGAAACTTTCCATAAACTTTGTTCTATCTTGGATTATACTTTCATAAACTTTCATTTTAGTGGCTGAATTTGTTGAATTCAAAGACTTTGACTTTGTATAAGAGATGGGAGTTGGATAAAATGTCTCCCTCTGCTTTTATAGTTATTTTCGTTTTAGGTTTATTTCAAATGTAATTGTGTGTCTAAATGTTATTGATATTTACTTAATAAAAAAAAAGATTCCCAATCAGAATATACAGTTAACTTAGAAAGTACATTCTGTGCAGGTATGAACAAAGTAGGTGTCTTTAACTCAATATCTCTCCTTACAGCACAAAGCCATCCTGCTACAGAGTTGAGGATTGTGTTGATAGGAGGAAGATATAATAACCTTCGCAGTGGTAAAAGTTTAGCTGGAAACTTCATCCTGGGTCAAAATGTTTTCAACACCAGCAGAAGAACAGCTCAGAGTGAAGCGAAGCAGCAGGAAGTGTTTGGCAGACGAGTCACAGTGGTTGATACTCCAGGATGGTGGTGGGGTTCCTCTAGAGAAGACACCTCAAAACTGGATCAGATAGAAATCCAGAACAGTGTCCATCTGTGTCCTCCAGGGCCTCATGTATTTCTTCTGGTCATTCCTGTCAGTTTACATTTATCTCAGCGTGTCAAAGCATCACTAAAGCAACACTTCGAGCTTTTTAATGCAGATGTTTTCAGTCCCACCATCGTGTTGTTCACTGCACTTAATCCATGTAGTGATGAAACTGTAGAATCTAAAATCAGAAGAAGTCCAGTCCTGCAGTGGATTCTTCAACAATGTGGAAACAGAAAACATTTTCTCAACCTCATTAACAGAGAAGATAGAGATCAAGTCAAGAAGCTTTTAGAGAAAATTGAGACCCTGATTACAATCAATGGATTCAGACACTGTTCTGTTGACAGAAGTCAAGGAGAAACTCTGAGAAAAGAAATGAGAGATTTGACTGAAAGAGCCTCAAAAAGGTTTGATCAAGTCCAGAAACAAAGAAACAAACTGAAGCTACAGATTGAAGGTAGGTTACAAGTTTATTTATTTCTAATAATCTACAATATTTCTTATCTTGTGAATATTCATGGATAATTGCATCAGATCAACCAAAGTTTGGCAGATAAAACTTTAGATTTTGGTAGTTGTAGTTTTATGGTTCATCATTTAAAGAACCATAAAACTACTGAAATTACCAAACTATATACTAATTACATACCAATTACTAATTTAAGTTTGATCCCCTCAGTTGTGCTGTGACTCTTAGTGACTATATGTCTTCTTGGCCACACTATAAATTTTTTTTCTAATTTATGTAAAACACCAGCAGCTGTGGTTACCAGAATTTTACTGTATTTGTGTGGTAAATTACATGTATTTTACTGTAAATTAGATACTTTTTTTCAGTGCACAAAGGAGAGGTGTCATTGAATGCAGGAAGACAATAAATCACTCAGTTAACTGTGAAAAAAAATCCCCCTCATTTTTGAGATGATGCCTCTGAGTGAAGAGATCAAATTTAATCTATTAAGTTGACATTCACTGGCATAGAAATGCAACAAATTGTTCACTTGAACCAATTTAACTTTTTACCTTCAAAGTTTTAGCTGAACAATAAATTGAAAATTAAGCTACAGTAGAATTGAGATACAATCAGTTTTCATCAGAAGTTTTCAACCTGCAGCTCCAGAGTCACAAGAGGCTCCTTGGTTCTGTGGCTCAATTAATATTAACATTATTTAGTATGAATATTAACAATAAAATACCACATTTAGTTCTATTTACTGTTTTTGTCTTGTGCCTCCATGCAAACACACTTCTCCCCTGAACCTTAGGTGGAAAATTTGATCTAGAATCAAATCTACTTCTACATAATTATCTATGTTGAAGGAAGTAAATGTTTTCAGTCGCATCTTCCGTAAGAAAATCCCATGTAACCTTCAGTATAACATTGTTGAAGTTTCTCTATTGGAAAATGTTTGACTATTACTTGAAGAAAAGAAACATCAAATCAAACATAAGATAACGAAACTATTTTGTTTCTTAGTAAAACACAACCAAAACTTTATGACACAAATATAAAGCTAGAAAAATAAAATGAAGTAACGTGTTGAAAAAAAATCCCTTTTGCTATTTTTTCACAAAATCTTTGAACAGTTCACTGACACCACAAAAGCAAAAGAAGATACATGAGTTACTTAAAATGACTTAAATCCCACAATTCATGAATTAGATTAATCTACTGAGTATTTGTCTTTTCACCACCAATAATTAGCAGCTTTACAACTGTTTGATTTGTCTATTTTCTGTGTAATAATCATCTTGACAACAAGTAAATGTGAGTTGCATTTTTTTTAATTGAGTGAACTAAATTATTTGTTGTTATTTTTCTGTTTTGTTGGTTTAGGTGGAAAAATCCCTCCAAAACATTTGAGAATAGTGATGATAGGAGAGTCATGTGCTGGAAAAAGCACAACAGGAAACATCATTCTAGGAAAAAATGTGTTTAAAGTTCATGAAAAGGTTGGCAGAAGAACAACCCACAGTGAAATCAGTCATGGTCTGGTTGAAGGAAGGCGGCTCACAGTGGTCGATTCTCCTGGTTGGTTCTGCTTCAACACCCTTCAGGAAACCAGTGAGATGGATAAACTGGAAATAGAGAACAGTGTGAATCTGTGTCCTCCAGGACCACATGCTGTGCTGCTGGTTGTTCCTGTGATGATCAACACTGATGAATCATATCTGAGATCTGTTCAGGAACACATGAGTCTGTTTAGAGAAGAAATCTGGAAACACACACTTGTTCTATTTACATTTGGAGACTGGTTAGGAGTGAAGACTGTAGAGGAGCAAATAGAGAGTGATGAAGGTCTGCAGTGGATAGTGAACAAGTGTGAGAACAGGTATCATGTCCTGAACAACAAGGACCACAGTGATAAGACTCAGGTAAAGGAACTACTGGAGAAGATTGAAGAGATGTGGGCAGGAAATGAAGATCCTTACTATGAAGTGGAGCTGGACCGAGCAGCAGAGCTAGAAACCAAGAGAGAGACTGGAGACAAGATGGCCAGAAGGTTGAAGACGATCAATGAGAGACGATCAAGAGTCCTGAAAGAGCTGATTGGAGGTAAGAAATAAATATGACATATTTTATGTTGTATCATAAATGTTTTAGGATCATATATACTGTAATTTTTTTATTTTGCAGGTGAGAGACATAAAATAACTGACATCAGGATTGTTCTTGTTGGCCAGAAATGTTCAGGGAAAAGTACAACTGGAAACATGATCCTGTTCAATGATCTTTTAAGCCTGACTCCTGACAGAGCTTGGTTGAAAAAGGTAAAAATATGCTGACTAAGCAAAAAGTTTTTATACAATCTAAAATTCAGGCTGTAGCAGTGAGTAAAGTACTTTTTGTTTGATTTTTATGATTTCAGATCTACCAAGATCATAGAGAAACTTCAACATGTGTGAAACATGAAGGAAACTTTGATGGAGTAAAAGTCTCAGTTGTTGAAACTCCAGGCTGGTTCTCAGACCCAACACCACCTGACTGGATCAAAGATGAAGTTCTCCACAGTGTCTCCATGTGTTCTCCTGGACCTCATGTTTTTCTCCTGCTTGTTCCCATCCTCAGATCTTTCACAGAGAAAGATCTCAAAGCTCTGCTGGAGATCATGAAGCCATTAACAGAGAGAGTGTGGAGACACTGCATGGTGCTGTTTACCAGGGGACACTGGATCAATGACGTCCCTGTAGAGAATTACATCGTCAGAGAGGGAAAGGAGCTCCAGGAGCTTCTGGAGAAATGTGGGAACAGATACCATGTTCTAAAAAACTTTAATTCTGATTATTCTGTTCATGTCAAAGAGCTGTTCCAAAAAATGATTAATATGATAAAACAAAACAAAGAATGTTTCTCAGTTGAAGGCAAAAAAGAACAAATTCTCAGTCTCCATTGGCCACCAAAACAACAGACACTTACAGAACAAGAATGGAAAAGGAGAGAACAGGATCTGATAGAGCGAGTGATGAAAGCTTTAGCAAAGGAACCAGAAAAACCAACAGAACCTCATGTGAGAACAGCAGAGAGCAAAGATGACCGTTACATTCCTTACAGTAAGTTTTATATAATAATAAATTAATGTTGACTTTACAGTCTTTGTTAACTTTAATAACACATCAATCTCTGTTTCAGTGAGTGGAGATGTTGCCTCAGACTATGGGAGCATTTCAGAGAACAGGAGACGACGAGGACATGACCAAGTAGCTGAATGGCTGAATAACAAAGTGAGAGAGTCAGAGATCAGCTCTGGGATCGGCAGCATTTGTTCCTCAAACACTTACATGGAAAATTTTGATGAAAGTTCTGAAATTGATTAAAGTCAACATACAATTCAGTAAAAGAACAAAGTATCAGCTTAGATGAGTTTCTAAAATATCACCAAAAGGTTTCAAATTATTTTCTGATATAAAAACATTTTAGGTATTTCTATAAATATTAACACTTAAATATTTAACTAGTTTTCATCATGCTTATATAGATCTAATCCAACCTTTTTATACATTGTTAATATTTGCAAAGGTTTATTTTGTTTTACTAAACCAGCGTTGGAGAGGAAATGTAGTAAATAGTTGATTAAACAGTAAAATTATTACTTATTCATTAATTATTACTTATGCATTAAGTTCTCATGAAACCTACTGGAAGATTTATTTAAAAAACTCATCATGTTTTCTGCAAAGCTTAATTAAAGTTTAAGAAGTTTATTGCACAGAAATATTAGATCATTAAAGGTTTTAAATGAATATTTTTTTAAAGACAAAGCAGTAAATAGAAACTGGTTTCTGAGATTAGCTTTAGAGCTACGATCAATCTGCTTGTATTCAGAGTGAATTTTTCTAACTAAAAAGTTTAGTTTGGATATTTAAGCTTTAATGTCATTGTTTTAAATCTTATTAATGTTATCAGTGATAACATAAGCATGTAAGGAACAAATGAGATGTCAAGAATCTCTTTTGGTTTGATACAAACTCTTAAAACTCTTATCCAGAAAAGTTTTATATTTCACTCCTAAGATCTAGAGAAACTCATATTAGATTATAACTTTTGTTGTTTTTATTTTTGCTTTTCTTCTGTTTTTTTGTTTTGTTTGTATTTTCTCTAATTCATGTAAAGCACTTTGAAATGCCTTGTTGCTGAAAATGTGCCTTGTAATTAAAATTACCTTACTTTACCTTAAAACTGAAATTAAAGTTCATAAATATTTGAGTGTTTGTTCTTGGAGATCTGAGTAACATTCATTATAATTTATAAACTAAACACCCTGAATATCAATTACTAGTATTAAATCATTCTACATGAAGACCAAATGTTAATTTGAGCCTCCCTGATGTTTAAGTTTATCTTCAGATGTGAAACTTTTTACTTCCCATTTACACCAGCAGGTCAATTCAGAATAGATTCAAAGTCCAGCTGGCAGAGAAAGTCTCGTTATCGTTATAAATACAGAGAAATCAGAATTAAAATTGTGATAGTATAGAGAGATTGTGTTTGAAAGTAATTTAGATGATTATTCTAAATTACTTTCCAATGTATATGTTGTTCTTGCCACTATCTCATAATGTCTTGATTTGCTTGTTGCTCAACCTGAGACTTGAGAAGGTTTCTAGACTTTTTTGTTTGATTTAAAAACATACTGTTACTTTATCATCAAATGGAGAACTCAAGCTAAAAAGTGATATTTTATATATCAGAAAATCTATCAGTATTTTTTAAATACTGATTCAGAAATCAGTATCTAGAAATCAGATACTGTCTTTGAGTCTTTTGGGAAAGACTCTTTTAGAGGTAAAGACTCGTTCTCTCCAAACATCCAAGACCCTGGGCAGCATCTGTTGCCTCTTTTTATTATTTTTTGTTTGTTGAGTTTGTTCTCTGTCAGTCTTTATTAAAAATGATCTGTTTTTGTTTTGAGCTCACTGAGATCTGTGTGATTCTTCTAGAATTTGCACATAATATGTATGAAAGTAAAAACTTTGCTCTTAGATGTTTTTTCTTTGTAAAGTAAATGTGATAGTGTTTGATTCTAATACCTAAAAATGAAGAGATATGGAGCTATTAAGTAATTTAGAACCAATAGTTTTACTTGTCACTTCAGCCAGTTGCTTCAATCTTTTTTCTCTCCTATTTAATTTTATAAAACATGACACAGAAACTGAGCTGCTATCAACAGCAACAGCCTTATGTCTAAAACTGATTCATGCTGCAAAAAGTTCTAATATTATCAGTGAATATTTGAAATGAGTAAACTCTAAAATTGAAAAATAGTAGCAAACTGATGTGTGTGAAAAATAACAGTTTGAACAGAAAGTGGATCAACAAAAAAGCAGCTAAAATAGCATAACCTCATAACAAATGATAGATCTTATTGTCTACATAAAGAGTTTTAACTTCTTTAAATTGTTCATTTCAAATGTCAAATCAGTCCTGCTTCAGCTTTTACTTGCACAGATCAAATTCTCCTAGTAAATGTTTATGTTGTAATAAACACATTTTCCCTGCTGTGCATCACTCAGGTCTGTTTTCCA